GTGTTTACTGTCTGCGCACCCACCTCGATCAGCTTCTGGGGAGTAGGGCGGTTGAGTTGCCCACTGTTCCCCCAGCAGCTGGAGGAGTGCTGTGTCCGTAGCAGGTGCTCAGGATTTGAGTGAGTGCAGCTGACCCCACACACGTGTGGTTGGCCTTTCCCACTGCCCCCCAGGAAACCCTATTATTCGTCCTAACAACGTCAGCTGTCCTGTGCCCCCGCTGGGGCGGTCTTGCTCATTTGGTCCCACTAACACCGCTGAGGAGGTGAGTCACCACCAGATGAGGCTGAGGCTCGGAACTGCTCAAGGTCACTCACTAGCTGGGGGCAGGCAGAAACAAAGAGGATGGGAACAGGAGGGTATGGTCAACAGCCAAGGGCTCGCCCCTATCAAGTAAGCCAGCCCCTGAAAAGAGCTGTGTACGTGTCACACGTGTGGGGACAGAGAAGGGCGTGGTGAGCCCATCACCTGGAGGTGTATCTGTGGTGCTGGATGCTTGTGTGCAGTCCTCAGCCTGAAGGCACACAGAATATTCCTTCCTGCCCTTAGGAGCAAGCCTTAGACCCCACATCCCATCATTCTGGCCATGCCCATGACTGAGCAGAGCCCTGGACAGGGAGCAAGGGCCAGCGAGGACATCTCTGACCCGCAAAACCCCTCCTACCTGGGCTGGGTGGGCAGGTGGGCTCCAGGGCTGGTCTAAGGGTAGTGGGGAACCCCCCAGGCTGTGGCCAAGGGGATGAGGGCGGGCCTCCCGCCCAGCTCAGTGTCCTCTCCAGAAGCTGGACTGGGTGGGGACTGACAAGAGAATCCCACAGAGGCAGAGCCCAGGTCCCATGCCTGGCTCTGCCAGAGGAGCCTGGTGGCCTTGGACCATGTGCTGACCCTTCTGCCTGTGGGCCTGACCCCCAAGACCATGGGGAATCCTGGTGAGGAGACCCTGGTAGGAAGGGCGAGAGGGATAACTGCCCTCTCCAAAGCCTAGAATGAAGCCCTGGGCCCCTCCTCCGGCAGGATGCTGCCCACTCACCCCCTGGCGGCCAGGGCCTGAAGTGCAGCTCCAGCCACTCCAGAATCAGGATCCGGAGGACCCAAGGTTAGGAGGCACGGCGGCAGCCAACAGGTCCTTTGCATTAGCCCAGAGCGGGCTTTGAAGCCCACTCCCCCAGAGCTCAGGAGGGGGGCTCCAGAAATGCTGGGCAGAAGACATCATGGGAGGGGCCCCAGCTTGGGACTCATCTGTACATCCCAGACCTCACCCTGCCTGTCTCAGGGCCCTTGTCTTAATTTTAGCAACCTGTTGTGGGCTTCCAACCTGGGCATTAGGACTTCACCCCACTCACTGTGGGCACCATGCTAACTGGGAACCAGAGGGACAACTTGGGCCACCTCGAATGTACTTGGCCTAGCACCACATCCACAGCACCAGCCCATCCCCAGCTAGCACCACCACTGCAGAGGGCGTCAGAACCAGGTGGGACAGTGGCTCACGGCTGGGCTGGGAGCACCCAGAGCTGCCCCAGCTGCAGTCTCAAGGGGTCAGAGGCAAGAAACACGCTACGTAACCAAAGGCTGTGTGAGGCAGCTCTGACTGGGGATGGGCTTAGCAGAATCCCTAAGAGCATCGGGACACCCGGAATGCCAGGATTACGGCCAAGTCAGTCCGAAATCTGAGGCCAGGACATTCAGAGTGGAGAGGCCAAGGTGCTCAGCAGCACTACAGGTCCCCAAACCCAGAGGACAGTAGATGCCCAATTTGCTGGTCAATAGAGCACAGGGCGGAGACTAAACCATTCCATTCCAGAATGGAAAAGGGGCCTGATGGCTTCACCAGCTGGCCGAATCTCACCTGTGTGCTCATGTCCCCAACCTGTGTGACAAAGCTGGGGGAGCTCCAAACCAGTGTCAGCACTCCAGGGTCCCAGCAGGCCCACGTGCCTCTGCCCAGCAAGCCCACCCTCCCCCAGTGTCACATGGCAAACAAGCCATCACTGGAACCCAATCCTATGTGGATTAGTGACTAAATTATTTACTCTCTCAACAGAGCAGGGTTGGTCCTGCCATGCCCATCAGCAAATCTAAAGACCACAGGGAACATGAAATCCTCAGCCTCCTTCCCACTGGGCTGCCACCCACGCTGTGCAAACACACGAGCTCTACAGCAGAGCCCGCTCTCACCTGGGCACACGTGCACCTGCACAAAGCCCGCTGCTCCGGCCCGGCTTCGACAGTCCAGGGGCAGACTGGGGCGCAGCTCTGAGCACCCCCCTTACACCCCATCTGCTCCAGGCCTGAGCCAGACAAGCGGTAGGGGGAAAAGGAGACCCTCTGGCAAAGCCCAGAGGCCAAGGGCAACATCTCTGAGAACAGTGAGTCCCCTGTGGCCTCAGCGGCAGGGGCCACAACACACAAGCAAAACCAGAGACAGAAATCACTGGAAAATAATGTTTATTGAGATCCACCAGCTGCACAATCTGCTCCCGCTATTAAGCTCCTTCTTCCTTTGCAATTCGGTCTTTCTTAAGTGGTCCCTGTGGAGCGAGGACAGGGGGCAAGGTCAGAGGGAGGAAAGCAGCTGGGCACGAAGAATACCCCACACTCCAAGGGGACCAGGGACTCTGCGTGGGTTCCCAGTGCACACACAAGCTCAGGACCTCCAGGAGCCAGCCCAGCTGTGTCCTTCTGCACCAGCACCAGATGGGCAGGTAGCAGGCTGACAGGGGACATCAACTGGGAACTATCCCAACCCCAGGTCGGGGTGCTCACCATGAATGCTTTCTTCTCCTCCACTGTCTGGAATCGGCCGTGGCCAAACTTGGAGGTGGTGTCAATGAACTTCAGGTCAATCTTCTCCAGGGCCCGCCGCTTGGTCTGCACCAGCAAGGACTATGGGCCAAGAGCGGAAGGTTAGTTTCCAAGAGCTGGGCCGTCCTCTGCCTCTTGGTTCCCAGGCCCCCTCAGCAGAGGGCAGAGGATCCACAACCTCACTCAGCCCCTCCCGCAACACCTCCTGGCTAGCTGGTTTACCCAAGGATCTCACTCTGCCGCCAGACTGAGCAAACAACGCAAGCACAGCAAACAGCTGGGCCAAGCCCGACTGGGAATTTCCTCCTCCCAGGACTTCAAAGCTGTTGCTGGAGTGGCAAGCCCCCCCTTTTCCTTTGAACTCTCCTCCACAAAGTGCGGGCACTATGTTCCGCTGTTACCCATCACTACCCCCCTGCTGGAGGGCCGAGCTCCTGCCTACCCGCCCCGACTGCGGAGAAGGGCCCTGGCCTCACCTTGCGGAGAGTAAGCACTCGCTTCTTGGTTCCCACCACACAGCCTTTCAGCATGACAAAGTCATTGGTCACTTCACCATAGTGGACAAAGCCGCCCTGGAAGAAACCAAGGCACCAGGTCAGATCAAGCACAGACAATACACATGAACGACCCCTTCAGGTTCAGGTGGTCTGCCGCCCGACAACGGCCAGGCTGTTCTCAGAAGGAAGGCAGCAAGGAATGTTTCCGCAGTCTGACTCGGGCGCTGTGCCCAGCGCTCATTCCAGAGCCTCATCACTGAACAGCTGGGTCTGAGACCCTACTTCTCACCAGCCAGCCCCACCAGTGGAAGACCCGGCATTTACAAGGAACAGACAGCTGGGTGCGGTCTGTGCAGGGGACAGTTAACAAGCTCTGGAAACCTGACCTCCATGCATCAGCCAGAACCCAGGAGCACTAGGGTCCCACCCCACAGGCAAGGCCGGGTGCAAATGCACACGGCATGAGGGGAAATCCCTGCCAGAGCCAAGGCCCTAGAGGCTTTGAGACGACAACTCTGATTACTCACCAGAGGATTGATGCTCTTGTCAGACAGATCGTAATCCGTGGAAGCATTGTTCTTGATCAGTTTGCCATCCTTGATGAGGTAGCCCTGGCCAATCTTATAGATCTAAGAAGTGAAAGAATGAACACTTTAACACTGAGAGGGGAACAGGCTCACGTGTCCCTAGACAAAAGGCTGGCTGCAGGACAGCCAGCCAACAGGGGCAGGTAACCCTCAGCTCAGTAGTGGGTTAACCAACAAAGGACTCTGGATGGAAAGCAGCTACCAGTCCCTGTACGGGGGATCCCAGCCTGGTGGCAGAAAGAAAAACCGGCTGGGCCTGAAGATACTGCCACTTGGCTGAAACAATGCACACAGGCAAAGGAAGGGACAGACAAGGCTCTCATCCTGGGTCACTCCAAGTCAGCCGTACCAGAACCACCTTTGATGACACCTTACATATGCCACCCAAGAACCCAAACCGTGCCCATCAGACAAGATGAGCACCTCCAGTCCACATGCATTCCAGAAGCTCCCCCACCGCAGCAGCGCTAACAGGAACCGGAAACCACACTCCCAACCCAGGACTCGTCTTTCCCTTCCCAGCATCAGTCTCCACAAGAGCCCCCTTGGCACCTCACCTTCTTGTTGATCTCAGTGCGGTGATGGTAGCCTTTCTGCCCAGCCCGAGCCACAGAGAACGCCACTCGGGCAGGGTGCCATGCCCCAATACAGGCAACCTTGCGCAGGCCCCGGTGGGTCTTGCGGGGTAGCTTCTTAGTGTGCCAGCGGCTGGTGACCCCTGGAAGAGACGCGAGCTTATCACCGGGGCATCTGGCACTCGTGCCACTGGCGCCTTTCCTACCAAAGGCCAGTTCACCCACTTGTGGCGCACACACAGAACATTCGACACACGGGTTTAATGTCCTCTCCCCCCTCATATTTCCTCAGGTTGACCACAAGCCTAGACATAAACCTGTTCTCAGCCTGTAACGAAAAGCCTTGGAGAATCAGCCCTGAACTAGAAGGGGACCACATGCACTTCACAGCATCCAAGTTCCTCAGCGGCAGAGGCCCCCCCGCCAACTTCCCAGTCCCCTCTGTCTTCTGCGGTGGGCTGCGAATGCTAAGGGTGCAGATGGATGGTGAGGGATCTCCCCCAGTCCTCCACACTTCCCTCACGCCTGACCGCACAGCTGTTCTTGGAAGGCAGGCCGTGAGGCAAGTTTCTGGAATCTTACTCAGGCCATGTGCCAGGCGCACATTCCACAGCCTCAAAGATCTGGACCTGAAACCTAAGTTTTATCACAACTTGGCCCACCGCAAAGCTCACCCTTGTAGCCTTTGCCCTTGGTAACACCAATGACATCGATCATCTCGTCTTGCCCAAACACTTGGTTCACAGGCACCTGCTGTTCCAGCCTCTCGCGGGCCCAGTCCAGCTTCTCGGCCACTGTGCCTCCATTCACCTGGATCTCCATGAGGTGGGCCTTCTTCTGGCGTAGAGGAAGCAGCCGCATCTAGGAGGGAATCGATACAGCTTCGATCCCAAGCTTCGAGCTCTCCTTCCACGGCAAGGAAACTCAGGGTGGGCAGAACCGTCTGGCAACCCTGAACCTCAAGTCTCCCTACCAGCAAAAAAGACTCCTTCCTGTGTTCTAACTCCCCACTGGGTACAATTCCCCTTTTCATTTTAAGATTTTTATTTATTTGGCAGAGACAGCGTTTAAGGGGGAACACAAGCAGGGGGAATGGGAGAGGGAGAAGCAGGCTTCCCGCCAAGCGGAGGGCCCAATGTGGTCTCGATCCCAGGACCCCGGGATCATGACCTGAGCCAAAGGCAGACGCTTAACAACTGAGCCACCCAGGCTCCCCTAATTCCCCTCTTCAATTCTGATGCCCAAGTTCACCATGATGAGCTGATCCGTAACAGACATACAAGGGCCATGCCAACACAAGGAGACCAGAGACAAGATCCTAGGACCAACTAGCCCCATGTTCCCCATCAGCAGGCTTTTGGCCGGTCCCTTTGGGGTACTGCCCTGGTTTACGCTACCTATCTTGGTCTACTCAGTCAATAAGACATTTACAACATGGGAGAGTGGAAACAGCACCCAAGGGCACAAGCTGCAAATATTAGGGGGAAAAAAGAAAGTCAAGCCTAAAGCTTTTCATTAAGAGCAGCCCAGCGCTGTTCTACAGAACTTTCTTCAGTAACACACATACTACAAATGTAAGTAGATATGATCATTGCTAACCATAAGGAAAAGAAGTACTTAAGAATTGGACGTAAACCCAGGATGATGGCTCAGGCCAACAGCGTATGAGGTAGCCATTCTAACCAAGTCAGGAAAAGGCTCATTCCGTTTGCATCAAGTCAGATTTGAGCGCAAATGGCCAACATCCTACTACTGACTACTGTTTTCAGGTAGGCATTTTACAACCAACATGAAGGAGTCACCAGTTCCTCCACCACTTTTTCTAAAATGGGGCACAGTTGGAGTGCCTGGGTGGCTCAGTTGGTTGGGCGACTGCCTTCGGCTCAGGTCATGATCCCGGAGTTCCAGGATCAAGTCCTGCATCGGGCTCCCTGCTCAGCAGGGAGTCTGCTTCTCCCTCTAACCCTCCCTCCTCTCATGTGCTCTCTCTCTCTCAAATAAAATCTTAAAAAAAAATTAAATAAAAAAAATAAAATAAAATGGGGCATGGTTTCCCTAATACAAGGCCCATAGAGACACAGCGCCCTCTGCTGGCAACAGAGCGACCAACCCACCAGCCTGGAGGCAGCCCTGGCTGCTTTCTCAGACCAACAGTAGTCTTAGCCTGGCCCCAGAAATCAACGACCGCGCAGGCGCCGCAGCCTGCTCGCTGGATGCCCATCCATCCAGACAAGCCTAGAGAACCGGAACCGGTCTTACCAACCCTCTAAAATCCTGAGACTTGGCTCAAAGTCAGCTTGAGCTGAGGATCAACTCAGCAGGTAACTAGGTAAGCACAAGGTAGTTACCTTGAAGCAGTGGGACAGTCGCCCTCCTTTTGCGCCCCTTGTCGAGTGCTCACCTGGGTGTGGGCGATGACCCGGATCACCTGGCAGTACTTCTTCATGCTGTTGAAGTCCTTCTCCAGCTGCTTTTTGCCATCATCATCCTGCCACTTCTTGCAGTATTTGGTGAAGGCCTTCTTCTTAGACTTATGCCTTCAGGAGCAGAGCAGAGTTGGGGAGGGGGCCGGGTGCGGGCCTTCATCACCCCTCCAAGGGGTGAGCGGAAGGCACACTGGCACCACATGGGGACGGGGCTCATTGCCGGCTTCTAAGGAGCCTTTTCCACCGGCAAGCGGAGCCTGGATGGAGCTCATCGGGCAGACCCGAGCGGAGCTGAGCAGAGGTCCACAGAATTAATTCAAGTCACAGCATTCAAGTACACACTAATTCTTGCTCCTGCTTAGCCATCAACCCAACCACATTCCCAGGCAGGACTGGGTGAGTTTCAGTGCTGTTTTTAACCGGACTCTCAATACTTCCCAGAACTAAGAGAACACTGAATACGGAGTCCTCAGCCAACACCCACTAGGGTGAACGTGACGGTCCAGAGGTGCTGCTCAAGGTCTGTCCTCAGAACTGTTCTGTTCAGGAAGCAACTAAACCAGACACCAGAGCAGTTCTCCCCCTGCTACAGAGAAGCCCACACAGGGCATTCCCTTCTCTAATCCTAGGTCCAGAGCCTCCTCACCCCTTACCAGAAGATTTTATTTATTTGACAGAGATTGAGGAGAAGGGACATGAGCAGAGGGAGGGAGAGGGAGAAGCAGGCTTCCTGCTGAGGATCCCAGGACTCTGGGATCACGACCGGAGCCGAAGGCAGTCGCTTAACTGAGCCACCCAAGTGCTCCATCCCCTTACCAGTTCTTATAGAAGCGCCTTTTGCATTCATCACTGATGTGCTCGGCAAAGATGGTCTTAAAGGTACGGAGGCCTCGAGGGGTTTCCACGTAGCCCACGATGCCCACTACCACCATGGGCGGTGTCTCCACAATGGTCACAGCCTCCACAACTTCCTTCTTGTTCACCTCTGCCGAAAATAGTAGTCAGACTTGAGTGGGATGGCTAGAATCGCCCACAAGGGATTCACGGTGTCTTGTGTGAAATGCCCATTTAGGTCAAGAGGGCAACGTGCTTCGGGTAACAAGCAACTTTGTGGAAATAGGGCCTTATCACCAATCTGGACTCCCAGGCCTGTCCTTACCAGATACGTTATAAATTCTAACTCAAAAAAATTTCAGGACTCTTAAGACAAACAGTCCAGCTTCAGTTCTCATCACAAATCTCTAAAAGCAAATTCCTTATTACCTAGATAATACAAGAGTACTTAGTATGATGGATTGTGGTAATAGCTCTGAGCTCAGCGTAGATGTTTAATACCAACATTAGCATGTACCATGTGGTTCACTAACCAGTGTTTTTTATTTTAAAGATTTTATTCATTTATTTACTTGACAGAGAGAGCCAGAGAGCTTAAGTGGAGGGAATACCGGAGAGGGACAGGGAGAAGCAGGCTCCCCACCGAGCAGGGAGCCAGATGTGGGGCTCGATCCCAGGACCCTGGGATCATGACCTGAGCCGAAGGCAGACGCCCAACCACCTGAGCCACCCAGGCGCCCCACCAGTGCTGTTTTACTTAGTGATTTTTCTCCTTTGCACTTCGTAACCCAGGGACACGGGCAGCATTCAAGCTCTGGATTAAGGTGCACAGGTACCAACTAGCATACTGCTCTACGCTGTGGCTCTTGAATTTACTCACGCGCTGCTCTGACTTCAATACATCCCCCACCTAAAGCAGTAATGCCAGCCACCTGTAGCCCTTAGTAGGAACCAATCCTAATGGAGATTTCCATCCTGTCAAAAGGTCTGTCCTCCTTCGACTACAGTCCAGTCCACCCCCATCCTCCACTCCTAACCACCACCACCCCCAACCAGGGTGAAGGGTCCTGCTGGTACTCACTGGATCCTGGCCTGTCCACCTCCCGAACGATGTGAGTCATGCCAGCCTTGTAGCCCAGGAAGGCTGTGAGGTGGACAGGCTTGGACGAGTCATCCTTGGGGAAGCTCTTGACCTTCCCACGGTGCCGGCTGCTGCGTTTCCGAGGCAAGAAGCCCAGGGACCCATGCCTGGGAGCGGAAAATTTCCTGTGAGACTGGGCGAAAAAGGATCACCGTTAGCACTCAAACCTGTCACAAGCAGCTCACTTCTGATGCCCGGCTTTGCCTCAGTGGTGGAAGGACCGGCCCCAACGCGTAGTCCACACCGGAGACCGGCGGCCCAGCTAACAAACACGCTTACAGGCTGGGCTGGGTTCACTTCTGAGAAAAGGTCACACGGCCTAATAAATGACTTGAATCTTTGCCACAAAATCTCATTTTTTAACCTGAGAAAACGTACCCTCCCCTTTCTTCTCTATAAAGACAAAAGCACACCAGGTGATGTCCTTAAAATCACTCCACAGGTGGCTTTAGGATCAAGTCAGCACAAAACGGCTGCTGGGACCAGGAGCTAGGTGGCAGACGGCACCACAGGCTCCCCCTCCCCCCGCTAGAGGGACACCCGAAGGCCACTAGAACTCGACGGAGCCAAATCAGAACATGACAATCAGCACAGAGTCTCTGTCCGCCCGTCAGAGAGTTCATCATCTGTGGTTCCCGGGAACTCCAGAGGCCTTACACGGGGTACCAACGTCCCGCCCAGTTCAGCCCGAGGCCTCAGCAACCCCAGCCCAGGTTCCCCTCCCACGTGCTACGCTGATTTCCGCACCTCCCCCGGTCAGCACGAACAGGGCCTAGCGCCCCCACTCAAGGTCCTCCTGACCAATGTGCTCACGGACTCCAATCTCGATTCACACTCAACCGGTGAGCTCGAGAAATGATCGGTGGCTTGAAAATTTCCGGGCTCGGGGCCTCCAAACCGGAGCCCGCCCCATCGGCCTTCGCCAGCCGCTGCCCGGCGAGCCCCAGGCCGACCACAGGCCTCCGCGGTTTTCAGAAAACAGGCCTCACTGTGGATCTAAGTCTCCCGCGCTCCCGGAGCAGGCCCCCCGCGCCCGCCGAGTTGAGATGGCGGCGATGTGCCACGGATTGAGCCGCACCGCCGCGCCGACAAAGAGTAAAACGCCATACTGACACGTACCATCCCGCCGCCAAATGCTATCGGTAGAGGTCGGACCGCGCTCAACGAACGATTTATAAAGCCCAGCCTGGGCCCGCCCCTTCCGGCGTGCGAGCGCGCGCCCGCGG